GAAAGTCATAAGAAGCATCAGTTCTTCCTCTTTTCTCATAAAAAATTCTATAACAAAAAAGCAGCTATATGGGGAATGTCATGATACAGGAATCGAATTGAAAATGCATAAGTTAAAGATAGCATTCATGTTGTATTTATGATAAATGTGCACCTAAGTTGATGGAACACATTAGATAGTCGCTGCGCCGTTTTTTTTACCGGAAACAAATCTGTTAGCAGCGAATCAAGAAAACCTGAAGTCGATTATGAAGAGTGAGGCCAGCCTCTTGAGAAAGCTTTAACGATACAAGTGTTTGATAGCTTTCCGAGATAGAAGGGTTGAAAAGGAGAGGAGTACAATGCGCAAGGTATAGGTAAAATAAAGGAAACTTTCGGTGACTAGATTGACAAGGAATTAGAGGGGCGAATAATTACGAAGGATGAATCATCCTGAGAGGTTGAGAATTAAACCAATAGGTAGAAAGTAGTGATCTAAAAGCAAGCCAGTCAGCATGTTGGTCGATCCGATAAGCTTAGTAAGGATCTGGAAAAACGGATTGACAAGAGACGAATAAGAATGAGGAAAATAGAAAGAACAAATCTAGTTAGGGTTAATGGCGGATAAAAATCTGTAGATAAGGATAACCATTGGAGAAGGCGCTTGAAAGCAGCCAGAGCACGATCAGATGCATAAAGGAATATTGAAAGAAAAAAATGAGAAAAGAAAAATTAGCAATTATGAAGGAGGAAGCTAGCAATGTCAGAGACATGAAGATATGATAAATTATATAGAAAGCGAATGGGTGTTTACATATGTTCAAAAGTCCTCCCCACTTATCGGTGGCCTCGGAGCAGCCAGATATCGCCTACCCTCATAAACAAGCGAACAAGCAGCTTCAACTCCGGGTCCAGACGAGGGCAGAGATGCTGAAACGACAGAAGCACGAGTGTTTGTCTCTATCCCAGAGGCGGCAGCAACAGCCCCGGTAGTGGAGTTGCCAGTCGTTGTGGAAGTCGTTGTCGTCGTTGAAGGCGGAGAAAGGATGAATTTGAGACAGGCCTGCAAGCTGGGCCTGAGGTGGGGTAGCAGCGGCTTGACTTGGTCAACAACCCCATTCCCCACAAACATGTATTTAACATGATAAAGTAAGTCGGCTAATGTGTCACCATGTAAAAGTGGCAGAGGCAAGGTCTGATCCGGCTGAGAAGGGGATGGTACAGATGAACCTGACGATTTTTTGGGATTGCACAGCGCAGTATCCACTTGCCAAACGGCACGGTACAGCTCTGCAGTTAGCTTGTAAGGGAGGAAGAAAAAATATGACAATAAGAAGAATGAGCATTTGGACTTTTTATGCAACCAATTGACAGAACCTTCAGATTATATAGGATAACCGACGATTGTACAAAGGCGAGATCTGGTTAAAATCCAGTGCTCCAGCAAGCAAAAGTAGAAGGGTGGATAAACTTAGACTGATAAAATAATTAAAAATTGCATAGCACCATCAGCAAAGAAGAACGAATTTGGACAAAAAAAGAATGCGAGAGTAAGAAATTGCAGGGACGTCGATACTCATAGAAATTAAGTTGAACAAAAATTAGAAATGTGAAAAGTTTAGCGGAAAAAAAATTAAGGAAAATAGAGATTTTGTGAAATTATTAAGAGAGGTTCAAATAACAACACGAGTAATCTCAAATAATTTATGGGGAAGTAAGGATGACAAATTGAATTTCCCACAGTGAAATGAGTAAAAACATCGGAATGTCATTAAATTTGCCAGACTGCAATTTAGACCTCGTCTCTCGAAGGAATCAAAAGGCGGACAAGGTGGAAGCAAAAATCCAGTATGAAAGTATAAGTGAAATTAATTGGCATCATATACCTTCTATTTTTATTGTGGATAATTTTACAACCAGTCATATGCCGTCTAATGCGGCCTATGATGGCACATCTCCCTAATCAGAGATCGTTCTAATCAGAGGAAAATGTCATATCCTTCCCAAGTCATAAACATAAATTTGGACTGAGTACTTAAATACAATAATACACAATATATATGGTAATTTGTGATGCCTTTTACTCATTGGTTAATGAGTACTTCCCTTAGCAGTCCTAACAATACCGTATGCAACCTTGGCTGATTCAGCTTATTATTTAAGGTTTACTAATAATTATAAAATCTAGATCTTCGGTATAGAAGCTTGATTTTGTATTGGCATCATTATATAACAAAGGTATTCGAAACTTGCATTCCTGTCCCATATAACTTAGATGTAAATCCCTCACAGAAGAAGCTTCCTGTTCTCATATTATTCATATATATATTTATCTTATTAATAAATATTATTTTAGGGTCAAGCCAGGCCTCTTTTGATGCGCATTTTTATAATAGCGATCTTGTTAAGATGGCCAATTTGTATATTTTTATTACAATCTACGAAAATACAATAAACCCAAAAAGTGGCTTTTTAAACTATCCCTGCATATTGAATAAGTCCCTTGCGTATATACACTAGTGAGTGGCGGGAAAATGTGAAAATGGCAATATCAGACGGCCTCAACAATTATTTAATCATATATGTGTATGAGCGAAAAAGTGCAAAAATTACAGGCACCGTCAAATAAAGGCTGAAAAATCCTTGGTTATGAATTTGTGCTAATGAGAGATGAAACGCCATAAATAGATTTTTTATAACAACTCAAATGAGTCTAAGTAATAATTTTGTAATAATTACCTAAGGTCCACTCATTGAGAATATAGGCAATTTATTGAATGATGCTGAGTTAATTCGATTTTTGGTAATGATTTTAATTATTTACTAAGCTTAAGGATGCATACCCATCCGGAATAGATAGCAGTTTTTGCTTCTCATTCTTCACGTCCACGAAATATATGCCAGGTAGATTTTACGATGCGCAAATAAGAAAGCAGAAAGCAGACAAAGTAAAATGAGCTCTTGAAATCCTTAAATTTATTATTACGAGAGCATAACTCCAAAATTATGGAGCCAACGGAAAGAACTAGTCATTAGCTTGCTGAATTCTGGCCGCTGAAGTAAAATTAATGGATTCGGTGGCTCATAAATTTATAAATGCCTCAGTGTGGCCTGCTATTGATGCAGCATCGGACGAATTAATAGGATTTTATGAGATTTGAAATAGTCTAAAGATTTTTTTCCCGAATAAAATTATTTCATGATATCATCCAAAGAATGAAGACTGAAGTCATTGGGAATAGGGGAAGAAAGAAATTTTAGAAAATGAATTGGGCGAAAATCTTTTTAAAGGCACAAAGAAAATGTGAATCTGAAAATGAGGAAAAAAGGGAATAAGGACTCACATCAATTAGTTTGGTAGGTCGCTCACACTGAAGGGACCCCATTGAGGGAGCGACAAGGAAGAATGCCATTAGAAGTTGAGGCTCATTGAAAACTCGAGGTAAGACAAGGTCATTGAAGAGCCTGTCGTAAGATAAAGGAAAAGGTTTAAACACTTTCGTAAATAAGCAAGAAGGTCAAGAAGGTTAAGAAATACATCTGAAATGAGACATATGAATGCACATCTAGGCTAATTAACTACATTGTATATACCAATTTCCTGAGATAACATTGTTAGGGAGACCTTCATTTCGTATGAAGGTGCATGAAGAAGAGATTCGTTGGTCGATCTCACCAGACGAGGACGGATGAAACTCGTTATGCAGCCGGTTGCATTTTATACGATATTCATCTTGACGCAGTCTACGGGACTTCCTCCCTCGTTTCGGGTGAAAATGTGCTGACCTTTTGTCCATCATATGATGGACATCATCAGAGCTGGGTGTCATTCTTGTAAAAGTAAGATGTTAACACTAGGCCAAGAAGACTACCCGGCTTTTTCTTACCTTTTATAAAGACTAAGCTAAACCAAAAGAAAATTAAAAATTAAAAACCTATATGGATATAAAGTGGTTTGGCTAATTATCTTTCATACTTGTCCTGCTACTTTTGCTCGAGCGTATGTGTGTGTGTGTTAGCGTCTATACGCAATACCGGTCCCAAATCAGAGTTATCAAAAGGTTAAAGTTAGTCTCTGATCATTAACGCCTAATGACCTCAAAGAAAGCTCTGACCAAGACTGCGTAAGTCCGTAGGCATGTATGATTGAGATAATGAGATATGAGCTTGTAAGCATGTAAGACAAGTTACGAAACCACTTGTCCTAACCTCTCGTTCTAGGGTCATTAACGTTTAGCCCTCTAAGGAAAGGCATGACTAAGGCTGCGTAAGCATAAGTAATTCCTACTCAACTTGATTGATATATTGAAAGAGAGAGAGGGTGTTAAGCCGCCGTAAAAAAGAAGGCGACTCAATTTGTCTGCTCGATGATGGTTCTTACTTCACTCACACTCGTCCAACATGTAAGATTAAGCTCATCAACCAAACCAGACGTGCCAACTTACGCAGCCCCAGTCATGCCTTTCCTTAGAGGGCTAAACGTTAATGACCCTAGAATGAGAGGTTAGGACAAGTGGTTTCGTAAATTGACTTGCATGCTTACAAGCTCATCTTACATTATCTCAATCATACTTGCTAACGGACTTACACATTCTCGGTCAGAGCTTTCTTTGAGGTCATTAGGCGTTGATGATCAGAGCCTAACTTTAACCTTTTGATAAC